GGGGGGAGGCCGGGAGGGGGGTGGGACCCAGGTGGAAGGGAGCTATGGGGGGGAAAAAGAGGAACAACTGTAATAATCTGAACAATAAAGATTTAATTAAAAAAAAAAACATCGTGAAATGCATTGATTGGTTGCCTCCTGTAAGCACCCTGACAGTGGCCTAGGAATTAACCTGCAACCCAGGCATGTGCCTTTGACCTGGAATCGAACCCAAAACCTTTCAGTGCACAGACCAGTGCTCTACCACTGAGCCACACCAGCCAGGGCAACGAGGAGCTTCTTTCCCCTAAGGCAGTGGTTCTCAACCTTCCTAATGCTGCAACCCTATAATACAGTTCCTCATGTTGTGGTGACCCCCACAGGTTCCAGCTCCAGCTCCAGCTCTGGTGCCCTGGTGCCCTTGGGCATTCTGTCTGAGCCCCAGGTTCCACATCTGGGAAACAGGTGGGAGTGTCACGTCCAAAACAAAGCAGACGGGATCATGAGCGACGTCTGTCTCTCTGGGGGCTGCAGGTGACCCCCAATTTCATTGTTACAAATTGAACATAATTAAAGCATAGTGATTAATCACAAAAACAATATGTAATTATATATGTGTTTTCCGATGGTCTTAGGCGACCCCTGTGAAAGGGTCATTCGACCCCCAAAGGGGTTGCGACCCACAGGTTGAGAACCGCTGTCCTAAGGTGAGATGAGGGGCCCAGACCTTCACCAGGGTGTGCTTGTAGAAAGGGGTAATGCTCCGGTGTTATATAGGGGAGACCGGGACACAGCCGGGGGGAGAGCGCACCCCATGCATTAGCTGTGTGGTGGCTCCCTGCCGGGGGGTCCGGCTTCCTGGGCCTCCAGGGCTGGGGTGTGCCCCATGCAGAGCAGCGGGTATTTATGGGCCCGGAGATCCCTGGGCAGGAAGTATTGGTGACAAGTTGGCAGAGAGCCGGGGAGGGTGGTGCTGGCTGAGGTCCAGCCAGAGGGCAGGAGCGCTGGGGTCTCCCCACCCAGCTCTACCCCCACTGCCGCCGACCGCTGCCGCAGTCCAGTCCACTGAGTTCAGGTCCTGCAGCTGGGCCGGTGCCAGGCAGGCTCCCATGGGCAGCTGCACGTGGCCTTGGAAAGTCACCAGCAGGGACGCGAGGCCTGGGATGAACATGAATCCCGAGGAGGCCTGAGGGCTGCCAAGCAGGCCTGTTACTTCACAGGTGCCCAGCCCAGGGCGGAAGGCAGCCCTGGCTCGAGCCGCTGGCAGCCTGGGCCACCACCACAAGGGCCCACACGTTGCTCATTGAGGCATGTACCTGGCGGCCACCCAGGTGAGAAGTGTCCTCTCCCCTTCATCCCCTCAGCAACATGCTCTGCCCTTGCAGCCCCCAGAGAGACAGGCGTCGCTCATGATCCCGCCTGCTTGGTTTTGGACGTGACCCTCCCACCCGTTTCCCAGATGTGGAACCTGGGGCTCAGACAGAATGCCCAAGGGCACCAGGGCACCAGAGCTGGAGCTGGAGCTGGAACCTGGGGGTGTCCAGTCGGAGCCCCCGCTCCAGGCCTGTCCCTCCCCGGGCTTAGAGTTGGTGTGAGGTTAAATGAGATCGCATGTGCCTGGGGCCCAGGGGTCCCTACTCTGGGATGCAGTGGAGCCCAGACTCTCTGTAAGGGAGTCAGTGTCCCGTGCAGATGCCCTGGCTGCAGAGGGCCCCCAAACACAATCCC